CAGCTCATGAAAATATTCTAGGCTCACAGTGTCCCACTCTAATTAGCTAAGTAAGCTAACACCTGCAAAGGCTTTCTGAGCCTTTAAATGGTCTCTCAGTCTGGTTCAGTAGGAATCACAATCATGGGGAAGACTGCTGACCTGACAGTTGTGCAGAAAACAATCATTGACACCCTCCATAAAGAGGGAAAGCCTCAAAAGGTAATTGCAAAGGAAGTTGGATGTTCCCAAAGTGATGTATGGAAGAAAAAGGTGCACAAGCAGCAGGGATGACCGCAGCCTGGAGAGGAAAAGGCCAGGAAAAGGCCATTCAAATGTGTTGGGGACTGAGGCTGGAGTCAGTGCATCAAGAGCCACCACACACAGACGGATCCTGGACGTGAGCTTCAGATGTCGTATTCCTCTTGTCAAGCCTGAGCAACAAACAACGTCAGAAGCATCTTACCTGGGCTAAAGAAAAACAGACCTGGTCTGTTGCTCAGTGGTCCAAAGTCCTCTTTTCTGATGAGAGCAACTTTTGCATCTAATTTGGAAACCAAGGACCCATAGTCTGAAGGAAGAATGGAGAGGCACACACTGCAAGATGCTTGAAGTCCAGTGTGAAGTTTCCACAATCTGTGTTGATTTGTCATCTGCTGGTGTTGTTCCACTGTGCTTCATTAAGTCCAGGGTCAACGCAGCCGTCTACCAGGAGTTTTTGGAGCACTTCATGCTTCCTTCCGCAGACGAGCTTTATGGGGATGCTGACTTCATTTTCCAGCAGGAAACCTGCCCACGCTACCAAAAGCACCAAAGCCTGGTCCAATGACAGTAGGATTACTGTGCTTGATTATCCAGCAAACTCGCCTGACCTGAAATCCATAGAGAATCTATAGGGCATTGCCAAGAGAAAGATGAGAGACATGAGATTGGACAATGCAGAAGAGCTGAATGCTGATATTGAAGCATCCTGGTCTTCCATAACACCTCAGCAGTGCCACAGGCTGATAGCTTCCATGCCATGCCGCATTGAGGCAGTAATTGCTGCAAAAGTTGCCCAAACCAAGTTCAGAGTCTATATGCATGCTTCTACTTTTCAGAGGTCTGATATTGTTCTATGTCCACTCCTTGTTTTATTGATTGCATGTAATATTCTAATTTACTGAGATTGTGGATTTGGGGTTTTCATGAGCTGTAAGCCATAATCATCGCACTTATGACAAATCACGGCTTGAACTATCTTGCTTTGCATGTAATTCGTCTATCTCATATATTAGTTTCCCCTTTTACGTTGCATTACTGAAATAAATGAACTTTTGCAGAATATTCTAATTTTTCGAGTATCACCTGTAGGTGAGAAACACAATGAGCACAGTGTTTCAAAATGTATAGCATTGAAAAACATCTGACAGCTTATGGGAATGGTAGACTTGGTAAAAAAAAAAAAAAACATTTATTAATTGTGTAATCTTTAAAAGGGGCACTACCATGAAAAATGAACTGTGTGTTTGTACTATATAATTAAAGCACAACTGTCACCTCAAAGCTATTTTTAATAAAATTATAATTTTGATCAAGTTGTGAAAGGAAATACATTTTTAAAATGAAGTATACTGTATGTAAATGAAAATGAGAAAAACACATCCCTAACTTCACAATCTGACAGCCATATACATACACCTTTGGTTAGACAGTGTGAAATCAGACATCTAGTCTCTATGGTCTTTCCTGCTTCACTCCCTGTACAGTGCATATACACCATCAGACCAGCCTGACTCTTAAATACAAACACTGTCTGACCCAAGGTGTATGTATATGGCTGAAGGATCCTGTCTAAAGATAGGAATGAGATTTTCATATTTTTTTAAAAAGCCTAATTTAAAGAATGTGCGCTTTTCCTCCTTCTGTGTTTCTAGAGTATTCTGCATACAGCAGTCAGCCTGCATAACTGTTGGTAACACTGTCAGTTTGGTATGCAGAGGGGTACTCAACTGTGGTCATTTAAATGTTTTTCAGTAGTATCATCGACACATGTTGGAGTAAAAATTAAATGACTATGGTCATTATATTATCATATGTCAAAGAGCCAGTTTAAACACCATAACCACTACATCACATTGTAGTGATTATAATAATATTATGGATACCACCCTCTAAAATGAATTTTATTTTTAACAATGTAGTAGATATAGCCCAACGAAAACATTCATGCATTTAATTATGCTTTTTTTTTCATTTGGGTTTATCTCAAAATATTTATTTTCCTCAACCTTTGTAAGTCCTACAATTCTTCGCCCCACCCAGACATCCTCTGACTGTCCAATCACAGACTCCCACTGCAGCTCAAGGAGAAGTCTTTGCGAGGCAGGTGCTCTGGGCAATTGCTGCCTCTTGAGTTTATCTCTACTGAGCTAAACAAACCAGGAAGTGACAGAATCGGTTGTCTGATTGACAGCCAGAGGGTGTAGCAAGTTACATTTATAAATCTACCAATTTCTATTGAAATGTGCACTTTTTGTAAAATAAAACTAGATGACACCCTCTTGACACTAATGTGCTCAGCCTATCACTGCTGTCCCAATAAGGAATACATTTATATTGGAACTATTATATTGGAAATTCCATATTAACAAACATTTGTGTACCAATGGTTCCCTGTGGGACCCCCTGTGTTGGTCATACTGCTTGAAAACAGTTTGGGTGACTGTGCCCACAGCTTACTAGCACCATAACAACTACAATGATATATAGTGGTTATAATATTTACTCACAACATATGAGAAATACATTTTTATGATCCCTTTAAATTAGGCTTACATGATATGTTGCACTGTCAAAGTGCAGTCTTTCACATGCTAGTCTATTAAATAGGTTTTTAAGCTAAATATGTATTTATCATTTTGCTGACACTTGGTGATGCCATGTTATATGTGATTTAAAGTATGGGTTATGTTGCATGAGAACCTTGAGCTGTAATGTTAACTGCAGTCTATTATCATTGTGGTGCATATTGCTGGTTGACAATGAAAAACTTGTCTGTCTCTCTTACACTCTCCTCCTTTCTCTTTGTGCTAGTTTCATGGTTGTTTGTTTGTGCAGATGAGGGCAGCGATGTGGACAGTGAAATGGATGAGGAGCTTGACGATTCTGGAGAGCCTCCAGCAAAGAGAGAAAAAACAGAGCTAAACCAAGCATTTCAGGTGGGCTGCATGCAGCCATCACTGGAGGGAAGTGTACAACAAAGTCTGGTCCTGAACCAACTGCACAGCGAGCACATTGTCTCAAGCACTCAGACCATTAGGCAGTGCAGTTCTACTGGGAATACCTATACTGCAGTTTAGTGGATGAAAAAGCTCTCAGAACAGAGGTGTATAAATATTTGTATGATGGTCTTAAGATTACGACAGTAGAACAGATCACGTCCGATGGTCGGCTCTTTTCAAACATTACTTTTTTGACCTTAATCTTTTTGTCAACCTTGCCCCAAGCCCAATTTCCTCCACCCTCTCACAGTGTACAAAACAAACCCAGATTGTTCTGGCAAAGCCTTTTTTTTGTTATTATTTTTATTCAGTTTTTAATATATTCTTTGTGTATTATAAAAAAAAAATATATGGTTTGCCAGGTCCTAAATTGCTATTGTTCTTATAGGGTTGCCCCCTTTTTATTTTCATTTGCTATTTTATTCTTAACTTTGATATGTGTTTTTAAGTATTTAAAAAAAAAAATCCTTTACAATGTTGACCATGTACTCTGGAGAAATTTATGTGGAAACAGAAGCGTGAAAGGCTACAAGGGAATCACCCTTAATGTATCAGACGCTATGTAAGATATTTATATGTTTTAGGGTAAGTGTTTTGGCTATTGTTATGTAGTTCAAAGGAGTATACAAGCTTTTTCTCCTATGTTCTATGAATCAATATCATGAGCTGCATAGTGTAATGCAGTAAGCTAAAGTTGTGAGCTGTGATACAAGTGAAAAGCATGCTATTGTCTTAAGTCAACAATGCAAGCACCTTCCGTTAATTGTGTCCATCAATTTAAAAATAACGTTTGTAAACTATGGGGTCCAACCTAAACATTCTGAACTTGGATCATGAAATGCTTTTTACCAGCATATCACCTCAAACCCACTGTTGCACTCAATATCTCTAAGCGTTTCCCCTACATCTCTCCGTTGTAATACTACTGAATCCTCAGTAAGCACCATTGCACAGATGCTGTGTGCTGTTAATGGATCTGATATAAATAGGTATAAATGCAAAAGATAAAGAAACAAACAAAAAAATAGAAATAAAAAAAATAACTTTTAACAAGACCTTAATCTTTAACCTCTTCGCCCCTGAGGGCTACCTTGGTGGAATGGCTTGCGACAAGTGCATAACAACATGAGGTTATCAAGACAGCAAGATGAATCTGGGTTGGGGAAAATGGATAAAAGTTACATGATGATAACCAAATGTCTGCGTCCAGACTTCAAACAAACAAAAATAAAACTCAGGGAAGACGGGGTTAAAGAAACATTTGTTTCTGGATTAGAAGGGGCTGATTTTAGGAGGTTGTATCCCTTCTATTCCAGAAACCCTTTATTTCATAACAGTAGTTCATTCTGCTGCTATTATATATAAATATATATATATAGATTCATATATATATATGAAAATATAATTTATAGAATGCAAGGAATGTAGCAACCTGCATAGTATTTGAGATAAAGAACTATTATCTGGTTCTTAGGTCAGTCTTTCTTGATACCGATGTTAAAATATTTAAATTGTTTGAGGATGTCATTCAATTCAGCTTTCTTTTAGGTTATTTAACCTTATATATTGCTGTTACTAGGGTTTATCAATATCTATTTCTAGACTCGCCTGTTGAGTAAAATTGAAAAACAAGATGCCCTCTGCCACAATGTCTTCATTTTAAATTCTTGGAGAAAGCTAGCTTTCTTAGCTAAATATATATATAAAAAAAAAGATTAAAAAAACCAAAACTTTTCTTTATACTTCCTGTTTTCAGGATTTTTTTTAACAATTGTTGGCAAAATGCAAAAAGGAACATCATGCAAACACTGTTTCATAACAAAGCCTAGATTTTTAGAGATACATTTGTCTCATAAAATAGCAGCACTGAAAACAAATTAATGTATATTTAATGTGAACCATTGAGTTTACTTCACAGCTATTTATGAAGTGTTTACATACTAGAAGTATTGTGTCATCTGGTAATTTATTTTCATAGAGAGTGTAAACAATGGAGAGTGTTATACTCCTTAAATAACTAATAGTCGGAAAGTTTTTTTTTCTTTAAGTGAATTATGGGTAAAGAGTTCTAAGTCACAGAGCTTTACCTTGACGGTCATAAAGGAGGCTGTATTGGATGTAGTTCTCTACTATTTTAGCCCCGGCATCATAGACTGCAGCATTAATGTGATTTAGATTAAAGTGTGTGAAATTACTAAGATATGTGTAATACATTTTAGGCAGTGTAGCTGGCACACCTCACTGGAACTTATCCCCATTTCGTGTAGGATTTGAACAGGTGGCTAGACAGAGCATTGCCATTTAAGAATGTACATCAGGGATCACTGTACCTCGCGTATTTCATGGTGCCTTAAACAGAGCTGAAGCTAAGCTGTAGTAGTTTTTCTTTGTTCCTGTTAACATTTCTCTGCAAGGTGTGCCTGTTGTTTTTAAAAACCCCATAAAGTGGGAAGAGTCCTAATTTTTGTACTGGTAATACTTGTTGCTAAATAGTCGCACCCGTTCCCCCATTTTGTATCTCAGTGATTTTCGCTTTAGTACAAACAGTAGTATTTTGGAATTGTGAGCATAGTCCTGATAGCCCAAGGGCTAGCTGCAGAGTTAGGAAACTGAATCGGCCAAGTCTTATCCAAAACAACATGAGTGCCCTGTACGTATTGCTGGATTCAAGTTGCAGTCAGTAGACAAAACAGAAATGTGCTATTATGTCAGTAAAATTGCTATCCAGAGCAACTGTTAGATGGGTCATAATTTTTGCAGCCTTTCAGTGGGAGCATGGAACGCGTTAGGAGCCAAAGTATGGCAGCCTATATAAGCCTTCGCCACATGGTTTGTCCATGCACAAAGCAATGCAAACATAATACATCATTAATAAGGATCTAAAGTGAATCATGTTTGGTTTAGTTCAAGACATAGCGATAACTGTCATTTTGGTGAGTCACAAACAACAAAAAAAGATTTTTTTTAAAACTAATACATATACATTTTCTCTGGCCTTTAAGGAGAAACAAGATCTGAGCACAAATCTGTCATTTAAATTTTTGTGATCCATGGGAGGCAATGACCTGTCCTTTAAAAAAAGAATTGCATAGCTGTAGCTATTTCTTATTCACATAAATATTTTTTTTAACATGTAGAATATAAACAAAAACAACAAACCACTGAATGATTATAGATTTTATATTGGGATCTAGTCAGTGATATTTTGTCGATATGTTTGGACTCCCGCCTATTTTTCATTGTAACCAGTTGCTTTCCCTATTTCCTCATGTGGCTCACCTAAAGATTGAGTATGCAATATAACCTGCATTCACACTTACACTGCAATTTAATATGAGTGTAGTTTTCATTACAATGTGTGTGCATGTATGACTGCATATTTATGTAAGGCTCATAGACTGAACATATTACATGTAAGTAAGCAGTCTCCCATATAGCCACTAATACACATTACAGTAATATAACACAAATCAAATATAGAGTCATACAAACACATCACATTTGTAATCACATATGTTGCATGTACTCTCGATCACACATCACATGTACATTGATATATATAAATCACATATAAAATCACATATATATGCATAAACACACACACATTTTACACATCCACACAGATGTCTGGCAAGGTGTGGTTTGGGGCAGGAAGCAATGCCTAATTTAGCTGTGTCTCAGCAGTAAAATAATGGGGGAAAACTTACTTAATCTAGTGATGACCTGGAAACCAAAAATAAGTAAGTAAAATAGGTTAAATGGCTTAATTTGGAGAAAAAAATTGCTGAGCTCAGTGAATAAATCCCAAAGAGTACTGGAACAATACATTGTCTAATTTGAAAAAGGTGGATTCTTTGCAAGTAAAGGAAAACTATAGTATCAAGAACAAAAACACATTCCTGACACTATAGGATTAAACGTCCCCAGCCCCCCTCATATCACTTTGAAAAGGTTTTAAACTCGAAGCATAGAAAAGCTGAATGCCAGTGCTGCACACTGTGCATCACGAACTAGGAAGCATCTCTAATAGCTGTCTGAGTGACTGCCACTAAAGGTGTTACTAAGCAGCAATGTAAACACTGCCTTTTGTCTAAAAAGGCAGTGTTTACATAAAAAATCCTGCAAGGACTTAAGCTGTAGTGGTTCCGGTGACTAGTGTCCCTTTAATGTTGAAAAGAAAGAGGGGCATATGGATCAATTATTACTAAAATACATAAATATTGCAAATGGCCACCCTAGTAAACAGATGTGAACAAAACAAATGTATTTTGTTAATCCTATTGCAAGGAATACATAATAGTTTTTTCTGTAATAATTAAAAAAAAACTTCTTCAAGATGACGTGTAAAAGTTTGTGCAAAAGTGCAACATTCCTTAAATTACTCAAGGGTAATACAGTTGTCTGCCATCTCGATGTGGCTTTGTTAGAGCATATGGTGTATCAAAATAAAATCACAGTGTCCCATTCATACGTTTTAATCCAGTCTGTACAATTGTACAGAGAAGTATCCTTTGCTTGTTTATCCATTTTAAATTCCTAGTACACAACAAGATGGGAAAGTCATTCGGTCATATAAATAAATCCTCTCCAGTTGAAACAGAATGTTCAGTTATTTTTCAAACATATATTAGGCCTAAATGCAATTACTAGTTAATTTGTTGAGAAGGGGCTTAAGTTTTACTGATTAGTTTCCACTTTGCATGTGAGTATTGAAGAGCATACACTCAGTAGATCAATTATGAGATTTCAATTATATCAATGGCATATTGAGTGATGAGCCTCTCCTCTATCTTCATCAGTGATTTAATTTAGATTTTTATGTTTTGGTTGGGCTGTGATTTCATGTTAAGCAGAAAGTGTAAGAATACAGCATTTTATCACTGGGCTGATTAATTAATTAGGTCCATGCTTGAAAGTAGAATAATAAAAAGTTAACTAAACTTAAAAAAACAAACCTGAATATAGAAAATGTGCTTTTTGAGCCAAAAATAATTAACATCACATTTGGCTTAATTTCCGATGGGATTGCTATAGTCCATGCACTGTTAAATCACTTGAATATAGTAGAAGATGAGTTGATTAAATTTAAAATAAAACAACATTTTAAATTTACAATTATTTGTTTTAATCAAAAATACATGTCAAAGTAACCAGATCTTGAAATATATTGGGAGAACTTGAAAAAAAAAAACTTCTGTCAAATTCTATGCTTCAATGTTTTAAAGGCTCAAGATACTGGGCTATAATTTTGATATAAAACATCCACATATACTAAAAGGGAAAATTCTTATTTGTATTTAATATAGTTTGTATTCATACTTCGCGTCAACTCTGGTATGAACCAGTGGCCATTTGCTTGGCTTAGTTGGAATTAAATAAGCCACGCTTTGTTTGTCTTGTGTCTGTTTTTTTTCTTCTTCTTTTTAATGTTATGGGACTTTTTTCTTTTTTCTCGTTGCATGGCCTACTTGAATGTTGCTAATTAACTGATATTTTCTTAAAAAATATTATCTTGATTTGTATTAATGACACTTTCCGTTATAACATTGCATGAAACTTTTTAACAATGACTATAATCTTGCGTATACATTTTTTTTTATTGCTCAACATTTCCCGTATCACCTTTAATTTGTTGGTTAATTTATCTATTTATTTTGCTTAAATGGTGATACTTGCTGTAGGAGAACATTGCTCCAATATGCACTGGATTGCTGTTATCTGCTTTATACTTATGCTTTGCACCTCATCTCCCCACACCAGTACTTTTTAGTGCTAAACCTTAATTTTAGTTTTCTCCTCATGTCTGCCTTTAAAAGTAAAATTTGCAAAGAACACTTTAAAATGTCTCATAGCTTAAAATCCATCTAAAGCAGTGGTTCCTAAATCAGTCATCATGGCCCACCAACAGTCCAGAATTCATGTGTTTCCCCTTTTTTAATCCAATTAAATTAATGGAAATACGACCAACAGCTGACTGCTGTTGGGTCATGAGGACTGGTTTGGGAACCACTGACTTAGAGGAGGTAAAAATCTACCTAAACAACAGTAAACCGGTTGTAATCCACTAATCGTTTTACTGTGCAAAAGCACACAAAACATAAAACATAATCAAAAAATAGAGTTTTAAGTATCAGGTTGTGTTGACACTGAGACATGTTATACGAAAGAGTTTTACAGCCAGCTTTCTTTGTGTTTTACACTTTTCATTCACCAAATACGAATATTATGTTCTTTTATTAGAGCATTACTCTCCAATATGATTTGCAGTGCTCTCAGATTTCTATTGGATAGGCTGGTTTAACCCTTTCTAGACTCAAACATGCAGCCCTCAGGTTGAAACAGGCCCATCGGATGGTTTATTAGTCAGCTGAGCTAACTCAGTAACAGATATTTTTTAACAAATGTTTTATAAATGCATTGTGTTGGGCACTGCTTTTATGACACCGTATATCATAATTTAACTGCAACACTGAAAACACAATTTTACCTTCTGTTGTAATCCAATCATGAAGTAACTTTGCAGTTTTTCTTTTTAATAGAGGTATAGATGTTTATTTCTAAAGAGACTTGCCATTTGTGCTAAATAGCAACTCCCTGTTCTGTAAGGGTTAAGTATATATTTAAAAAAAAAAAAAAAACACCCAAAAATACATTCAATTTCTTTCAAAATATATGACAAGTAAGATTCCAAACACCTGCACTAAATATTTTAAGTATAAAAAGACAAAAAAAAAAAACTGGAATAGAAACATAATTGTGTAGTAGTACTAGAACACCTTTGAATAACCCTTTGAGCATTGTAAAATTCAGGATTAGTATGATCTATAGAGTGATGGTAGACAGGTAAACATATGTTGGACTATAGATAGCCCCATTTACAAACATTCAAAGCCTTTCATTTAGGCTCATAGGCTGCATAAGATGCAACTACTGAGTATACTGTGTACTGCAATCATTTATCCACACACATTGTAATGCAGATATGCAGTACAGATTGGTACAAAATCCATTTTTTTGTTTTTCTCTAGAGCCATTAATATTTTTATGAGTAATCGTGTCAGGTACACAGTTAATTTTCTCTCCATGCAAAATATGTTCAAATAGTACAATGGTTCTTAACCTTTTCTTGACAGAGACCTAAATTATCTTGGTAATGAGTTCAGTGACCCACTGTACCATAGTAATAAAATATATACAGATGTAATCCTGCAAAACACTTTTAATGAACTCTTTGCAGTGACACAAGGGTTTCCATTGTTCCCATCACTGGGGACATACAGAAATAGCAGTGGCCCTCCATGTTCCTACGTAGAGAGTAAGAACCACTGACCTAGTAGCATGTTTATTTTATCTATGCCCATTTCATTATCGGACATTTATTTTCATTTACTAAATATGATGCCTACATGGATAATTTTCTGTGTTTTTTTTCATGGTTTTTCTTTCTTATACATATCCTTGGACTTTATGCAGGCCTATTAAGTGTTGTAAATGAAAATAGCCACAGGACAGCCTTGTCTGCATAGCACAATTTTAAGTGCTGTGATAACAGACTTGTTTCATAGGATCTTTTCAGTTTATTTCATTTTCAGGCAGTTAGTAAAGTTATGTTGGTGTCTTCTGTAAACCTACTGAAAAAAATTGTTTGTAACACTACCCTTCATGTATGCATTGGAATTATTCAATATCTGTAAAATAGAGCACTGTTGTCTATAGTACATGTGCATATTTTTTTGTTCTTAGAACAAAAAAATAAAATTCACATATTCATACAGAGATAGCCTTGAATACAGTATGGATAGCAGAGTACGGCTCAAAGTAACACCGACTGTAACCAAAACACATAGGACTAACACAGAGCCATCCAAAGACAGACTGTTTACAGTTTATGCAGAAATTTAGACCTTATTTAAATAAACAATGCAGGATGCATTGTATAGATTGCATTAGCCTCACTGACTCCATTAAAAGTTTCACTCTGTAGTCTTCATAGTACTAGGTCTTGGTTAGATCCCCATGGCTGCTCTCTACATTACTTCATGCTTCGTTTCATGCAGCTGTACGATACTCAAAGGGTTGTAGTTTTGATGATTTATTATGTTGATCTTCACAATGATTTACTGTAAATGCTTCTCAGTTTGCATGCCTTGATCATTGCTGCTAGTGGGTGTACGTGCCAGTATAGAAATGAGTATAGTTTACCTATTTTTCGTAGTAAAAGCCACTTGCAAAGTGACTGCCTGGTTTAGTTTTGTTCTGTTTGATTCTTAAATGGTTTATTTATGTAATGTGCAACTTGCCTTATTTTAACACTGGCGTTTAAAATCTTGGGAATGAAAGCCCTGAGTTCAAAACTACTGACAAAAGAAGTCTAAATTGTCCATCCCAGTGTCCCCATGGAGCTAACATGCTCAAGTTCACAAGGATGAGACATTAGCGTGGCACAGAGAATGGCCCTTCTGCTTCTTCGCTACCTAAAGATGCCATGGGCAATACTTGATGTTTTTCTAGATTTCTTAAATAAACTTTAAAAAAGAACAAATATTGGCACAGCCATCAAATCGTAAAAATCTTGGTGTAGCTCAACAAACTTTAATAGTTTATGCCCCACAAGTTTTCTTAATGCCTACGTAGAAAAAAATACAGATGAAATTATTATTTTTCTTATAGCCAAGTATCAGTTGACTATAACTGCTACCCAATTAATCAGGCTTCTATCATACACACACACGCACACATGTGGGGCACCTGGATGTTACCACAAGCAATCAGGGGAACCTATCTAGAGAATTAATACATTTTGTACAACTCTAGATCATTGACAACAGGTCATCTAGTGCATGAAAATGACTGTATTAAATTTATGAAGAATGATGTGTCTTTCAGAATGCATATGCCTTAAATTAAAATGCATTCTGCTTAAAATTGGCTACTCTGATCTTGGTCCCTCTGAAGGCTGAGGAACCATTGATGTGTTGATATCTTGCCTGGCACCAGCACTGAAGCCAATGCTTTAATTCACCTGAGAAAGAGATAACACTGAGTGCCTTCATGGTAGAAGTAAATGAGAAAACACCCTGAACAGTTGGTGCCTGTACTTAGCTGTCCATGGTATCTACCTACACAATATTCCATGCCATTCATCCGAGACTCCTCAGGGCTTTCTTACCCTAGAAACTTCATAATATCATGTTCTTCTGTTTTGTTAAGTTTTTTTTTTCTTTTAAGTGCCATTTTTTCTTCACTTGGTAAGTAGCAGAGGACATTAACACAGTCCACAAACACAGAAGCATAGTAACAGTGAGATATTTTAGTTAGTTTTTTTTGGCATATGGAAATAATACTTTACAAATGTAAGGTAACCAGCTTTTACTTTTCTTCAGTAGCGATTGTATGTGTGTGATAATGTAATGTTCTTTTCCAGTTTTTGGATTACAGTTGAATAAGCATTTTATTTAAGACTTATTGGAGAATACCATGTGATGATTTTCTTGTTTTCTTTCTTTTTTTTTGTATAATGTATTGGGTTTTGTAAATACGTATTTCCTGATGTGATTTTTGTGAGAAATGCTAAATCTTTTAGTATATAATGTCCTCTCCAAATTGGCAGGAGCTAAATGATAGTTTGTGGGCAATTTGTATTGTGTACTGTACAATAACTGGGGAACTTTTATAATTATAAAAATATATATTAACTTTTAGTGTGTTGTTTAAAAAAAATGACTGGAACATACTAAAGATATTAGTAGGATTTTTCTGAATATTTCAGACTTGAACTCAGGCTAGCTTTCTTGTGTTGTTTTTCAAAACAAAATTGTGTCTTGTCTTTTAAAAATTAATAAATTTTGTTTTCTTGTTACAAATGTGTCTACATTATTTGTTGTGTTACTGGGGTGGGGAATAGCTCTAATTAACTTATTCAGAAAATGAAACTGATTTTTCAGCAACATATTGTAAGGACAGAACTTCTATATCTGATATGAAAAGGTCTGTGTCGGACAATACTGAGCCCAGACGAGTTTGAGTGGCTTTATGTCACAACCACTGTAGTATAGTAGTAATCTTGTAGTAATCTATTCGTTAGAAAGTAACAAAGAAGAAAAAAACAGAATATGTCCCAAATGATACAGATATACGCAGTGATAGAATTTCCAATGAGTATTCAGAAGTCTAAAGATCGCAAGGAAATGCAGCCTGGGACACATAAAACCAAAAATCACAGAAAACATTAACACCAAACAGAAAGCATGAATAACTAGAGGTAGATACGTTAGAAGGCACTCATTTATAAAGCCAAAGATGCGTGAGTTAAAAGGTGCAAAAAAACCCACAAAAAACATAACAGTGATTTTAAAAAATCTGAACATATTAAGATGTGTAAGAAGCATTCAAATGCAAACCATAAATGGTGTGTGTAGTCCTGGCTGCAAAAAAGTAAACAATGTATTAAGATCCTGTAAAATGTATGACAATGCGTAACTATCATATCAACTAAATTTCAATAACTGGGATCTACTTTTCAAATATCATTATTAGTAACAATAATAATCACTTATGAAAGAATCCCACAGAAGAAGCTGTAAAGAATGTACTATTTTGGGAAGAATTTAACCTGATGGAGCTCTCTTTTCTGAAACACTTGGACATGCTACTCATTTCAGGGAACCAGCATTCTGATTATGTTCATTCTTTCAATATCTGCCACATCTAAATGATAAATAGTAAGCTGGACAAAACATCTCCCCAAATTGTTTGTAACAAGGATGGATAACAAATTTTGTAATTTAAATGCATTTCTAAATATACTTCCCACTACAGCCTCAATTTAATGATTCAAATCTGTTTGAAATCTTTCCAAATTATTTATCTACAAAAATTCCCATAGGCTTTAATAGGGACATCAACAGATATATCTATTGACTCATTTGAAAATCTTATCCAAAAATGTAAAATCAAGTTCTCTCTGTGTGCAGAAAAACAAATACCGGTAACTAAAAAATAAACAAAAAAAAAACTAATAGTATTTTGAATCCCAAAGATACCACTTTTTTAAGCCCACCATAGCCATTTATTAAAAATGTATTATAGTTACTGAAGACGTTAGCCAGATATACCTAAAGGATATCAGTGATGTATTTCAATGGGATAAAATGTGGGGAAATTGGAGTTAAAAAATATTTTATGCATTGTTTGTAAAAAATCTAGAAGATTAAATTTTCTCTGGAGATGATGATTAAATTATAATCCTTTGAAATGAGAATGAGTTTATCATAAATGGTTTTAGATAATGAAAAACGAAAGGTCAAATGAAAGTAATTTAGAAGCTGGAAGAAGTACTAATTATTCCTACTACCTTGAACAAATATTCTTTTCTTTGAAGGAACATCTATTGCAATAAAATTTAGCTTTTTTTTTTAGAATTATTTCCTATTGAAAGATGCTTTTACACACAGAAAGAAGTAAAAAAAAAAAAATACTGTTAATAAAAGTATATGTATATTTCCTGCCTTTTATTTGTCAGTAATAACAAAGGTTGTAAAAGGGAAGTGTACTATCCATTGTTATGTATTCTTAGCACTGGCATTTTTTTAAATTTTTAAATTTTATTTTTTTATTATTTTTGCAAATTTTACATATGTAACATCACAGACAAAAACAGTTCAGAATTAGACATATAGACTCTGATTTACAATAGAAGGATATATGAACTGTTGAGTAAACTTCACACACAAAAAAACAAATATCACAATTTAAAAGAACTGAGCGGATTAGGTGGGCCTAAACTATAATAATTAGGTTACTTCATAACTTTCCTGAATACAGTACCATAGGGAAGAACTAGAGTGATCTTTATATATAAGGATATTCATAACAGAGAACGCAATAAAGTATATAGTTGTATCAGATTATCTAACCAAGTTAACCATTTCTCATCAAATTTTAAGAGGCTATCATCTTGAAAAGATATTCCCCTTTCCATATCGTGTTGGTATTTAAGCTGAGTTAGCACTTGGGTCCAAGATGGAGTCTTTTTCTGTAGCCAATATCTTGATATTTCCATTTTTATGGCCATCATAAGTTGGATTATTAGATATCTATTTTGAGTTGAGAATCTTCTTAAATTAAAATGAAAAAGAGCAACCATTGAGTTATCTTCCAAATCGTCTCCCACTAAATCTGATATAACTCTAAATGCTTTATTCCATATAGGTCTTAAAAGCTTACATCCCCACCAGATATGTTTAGAGCTACCTTCAGCACAAGTACACCTCCAACAAAGTTTGGAATTATCAGGGTTGATTCTATTTAGAATTTTTGGTACCCTATGCCACTGATGAAGAATTTTATAGTGGAGCTCTATGATATTTAAACAATGCAACGATTTTTTAACTTCTTGAATTGATCTATACCACTGCTCTAACTCGATTGGAGACCCACTTTCTTGTTCCCAGTTTTTCCAGGCTTTTGGTTTAGGCTCTTTTTCTTCCTCTCTCAATATTTCATACCAACTAGATATCGATTTAAGATTAGTATTATTTTTAAATAGATCATTTAATTTTTTATTTATCCTAGTGTGGTAATCCAAATAATTTTTGATTCTTAGGTATGAGAATAACTCTCTTGAATTAAGGTCAAGACTTAACTGAAGATATGAGAAAGACCTTATTTTATTCAATTCTAATAAATCATCTATTTTAGTTGAACCTAATTTGATCCAGTTACCTAAATTTAGGTCATTAATATTATATTCCATTGTCTTAATTGGACTACACTTAGAACTTTTATTTAAAATGTGATTTCTTTTCCTGTATTTTACCCAAATTTCATATTGTAGTTGGGCCCTGCCATCTCCACAGATGGTACAGCCTAGAGGCTTTGTAATTAGTGATGTTCCGAACAGTTCGCAAACGGTTCGCCACGGTTCGCTGCGAACAGTTCGCCATGGACTCCAGTCAGCAGACACATTCCAGCCAATCAGCAGCAGACCCTCCCTCCCAGACCCTCCCACCTCCTGGACAGCATCCATTTTGAAGCTGCATTCTTAGTGAGCTGTCCAGGAGGTGGGAGGGTCTGGGAAGGGAGGGTCTGCTGCTGATTGGCTGGAATGTGTCTGCTGACTGGAGTCCGCGGCGAACCGGGACAGCACTGGGATTTAATATACAAAATTACAACTAAAGTATGCATCAAAATATAAGAAAAATATATATGTTCTGCGACATTACTATATTCACTGATGCAGAATGATGACAAAACGGTTCATGGAATAGAAACTTGAAGTATAGCACATTTTTTTATGAACATGTCTCTATTTATAATCTATTAAATTAAAATGTAGAGATCATATTGCTGTGATTTCATTAATTTAAAAGGCAACAATTATTTCTTCATTGTAACAAAGTATTAAGAAAAAGGTGAGAAGAAAAAGTATCTGTCTCTTCTCAATAAAATTAAAAAAACCAAGGCTGATTCAACAGATTCACAGGTTTACAAAAAGTGCTAAAAATATTTTATTAAAGGACACAGAACATATCAACATTTCAGATTGACCCTTTCTGAATGCACAGTGTCCTCCGTGTTTTCGTCATGATTAAATTGATAATACTTGGTAATGTTCTCTCCAAAACAGTAACTCATAGCAGACAATAGTATCTCGATTTACTAGTTGGTATCAGGCAAAAAAATCAGTTAGAGTTAAATACCTATTGAGGCAACAATAGTAGCTGCAGGACTCAGTGTGAATGATAAAAATATTGTATATTTGCAACAATGTGTAGAAATATGTATCAGCTCGTTATTACTTTACTCCCCATATGAGGGCAAGAAGAAAAAACGATAACTGAAAAGTTAGTCTAGTAAAGGTTTTGATAATTTGTTAAAAAAACAATACATTTAGAGATCACTAAGAAGAATAACCATATAGTAATCCTACTTAAGTAGAATTCAGAGAACCATGTCATTTATAAAGTGTAGCTGACAGTTATCTTGTGTAAAAAAGATTTTTTTACATATACTGTCTAACATGCACACATAAAAATAAATGACAAACAAATACCCCAATTGAGGAGAGCAATGTTCGCTTCGTATACAGTCTGAGGCTCCAAAATGGAATAGCAATCTCTCACCGGCCGGACGAGATCGAGTGTGGACCTCCTCGTGCTGTGTCGAAAACTGGCTGTCAGCCGCGTGCGTTCCATTGCGGCTTTGGATGCGTTCCAGCTTGCTCTCCTGGGGACCAGTGTAAAGTGCCGCCTTATGCGTTTCGTAATCATACGATCACTTCATCAGTGGATGAAATCAGTAAAGTTACACCATTCTAATATTTACTAGCAGGCGTAACTCATCCCATAGAAATGCATAGAACCGGTGACACCAATACCAATTTACTAGTTGCCATTAGATACACTTTTAAAACAGTAATATTTTCTGGCATAAATCATACAGTTCATATAAAACTGTAAAATGTTCCTGCAATAACCACAAACATGTCCATGGTTTGTGAGATCCCATCCTATAACTAGAGACACAATGGCCTTTCCAACCTGTTTAATTAAACTAAAATAATAATAAGAAATGTGTGGAGTCCTTTAAGAGGGAAGGGCTCTACATCAACCTCAAATAATTACCAACCCCAAGAACTATCTATCTTACCTCCTCCTTTTAATAAATATTAGGAAAGGTGGGGCTGATAAAATAATAAACTGTTAAAACAAATTTGTAAACTTATCTAGCAAGGTGTTGCTCAAAGATTTTTTTCATCCATAAAAATGTAACCAAAGAGAACCAATATATCCCAAACTAAATGTGAAATAAAAAAATAAAGCAC